AACTCGCTTAGCCCGAGTTCGATTAACACAGATGGTAGGTCAAGCGATCACCAAGGAAGCTCCAACAATGTGTCGGAAGATAATCGCCGACGACAGCGCCTAGAACAACGCGCTAGAGAACGACATGAGGACAGGATCAACAAATCGGGAAACGACAGCCGTCGTCGCAATTAAGACCGATTCCTCGACGGAGATCTGACAGGTCTCTATGTATTGCAAACATCGGCAGTACTGCACACCTCATGGTTGATATGACTATAATGGGAAGAAAGATCCAGGCAATGATCGATAGCGGAGCACAAGGAAATTTTATCTCGCCGAATCTCGTCAACAGATTACGATTGCCTTGGACACCCAAAGACGAGCCCTACCGACTCACGACTGTGGAAGGAACTACGGTAAAGTATAGCCACGGAGTAGTCGACATGGAGATCGCGCAGCTTCTTGTCGACATACAAGGCACGAAACACCGAGTTACACTAGATATCACAGTGATCTCAAAACACGATGTTATATTAGGGATACCCTGGTTGCGAGCGAGCAATCCACGAGTCAATTGGAGAACCGGCCAACTTCAATGGGATTTACCAGGATGCGGTTACGAAGCAGAGAGCGGCCTACGAAGGGCACCTCATTCGAACTACGACAGGCCTCTAGGAATATATGTGATCGCCAGAGAGCCAAAAGCTGAGACAACGGAGATTCCCGAGGAATACTCAAAGTACAGCAAGCTGTTCAGCGGAGAGCTAGAAACAGGACTACCGGAGCATTCACGCTGGGACCACGAGATCAGACTCCAGCCCGGTACTGAACCAACGTTCAACAAAATTTATCCTCAGAACCCTGAGCAAGACAAGGCGCTCAAGGAGTATCTGGAGGACATGTTACAGAAGGGATACATAAGACCATCAGAGTCCCCAGCAGGATACCCAATCCTGTGGGTACCAAAGAAGAACGGGAAACTACGACCATGCATCGATTACCGACTCTTGAATAAGATCACAATCAAGAATCGATACCCGTTACCGCTTATGACGGAAATCAGAGACAAAGTTGGAAAAGCCAAATGGTTCACCACACTAGACTTAAAAGGAGCCTATAACCTTATACGGATGAAAGAAGGCCACGAGTGGATGACAGCATTCCGAACCAGCAGAGGACACTACGAATATCTAGTGATGCCTTTCGGGCTTACCAACGCACCAGCAACCTTTCAAAGAATGATCGATACGATCTTACGGAAACAACTAGGAGTGTTTGTGGTTGTATACCTCGACGATATCCTCATCTACTCAGATACCCTTGAGGAACACAAACGACATGTACATGAGGTACTACAAACTCTACAGGACAATAAACTCTTAGTCGAAGCCTCGAAATGCCAGTTCCACCAGAACACTGTGCACTTTCTAGGGTACGTGCTCACACACGGAGAAATACGAATGAGCCCGGATAAGATCAAAACCATCAAGGAATGGCCTACACCAAAGAATCTAAAAGAAGTCAGAGGATTCACAGCATTCGTGAACTTCTACCGCAAGTTCTTGAGCGGATATGGAGACATTTCACGACCTCTCACAAACCTAACAAAGAAAGAAGTCGGCTTCCAATGGAACGAACCAGAAGCCACGGCATTCCAGAAAATGAAAGATTTAGTTACGTCAGAACCTGTGTTGAAAGCACCTGATCAGGACAAACCTTATGAGCTTGAAACGGACGCCTCAGACTTTGCACTAGGCGGACAGCTTGGACAACGAGATGATCAAGGAAGATTGCACCCAGTTGCATTCTTCTCGAAGAAACTCCACGGACCCGAACTCAATTATGGGATCCACGACAAAGAACTCATGGCTATCATTGAGTGCTTCAAAGAATGGAGACACTATCTCATAGGAGCAAAGCATCAAATCAAGGTCTATACTGACCACAAGAATCTCACATCGTTCTTGACCACAAAGGATCTGAACAAACGACAGATCAGATGGTATGAAACCCTCACGGATTATGACTTCGAGATCATATACCGTAAAGGATCCGAAAACGGAAGAGCAGACGCGCTCAGCCGAAGAGAGGACTTGAAATCGGATGAGCAAGTGAGTAATGCACCCTTGCTACGCGCCACCAAGGATGGGAACCTTGTGCTAGGCACCCGAGAAATCAACATGACCTGGCAAGTCAAGCCAGATGAAACATGGATGCATCGGATCGCATCATGCATTAATAATGACAGCTATCTGGACAATTGGGAAACGAAAACGCATCTGTCCAAGGAAGGCAAGACCTTCTTGTACAATGAACGGCAGTATGTTCCCAGTACACTTCAAGAACAGCTTGTCAAGGAAATACACGAGCACCCACTACACGGACATCAGGGTGTAGGGAAAACGATCAGCAGGCTAAGAAGATCGTACGACTTCCCAGAAAGCAGAAAAATGGTACAAGAAGTCATCAAGAAATGCGACACGTGCAACAAAGCAAAATCAGCGCGACACGCACCATACGGAGAATTACAACCGATATCGCCACCTGAAAGAGCATGGCAAACTGTTACAATGGACTTCATCGTCAAACTACCGAAGTCAAAAGAACCCATGACAGGAGTAGCTTACGACAGCATCCTAGTTATTGTGGACAAACTCACAAAATACGCCTACTATATTCCATACAAGGAATCGAGCAACACCAAGGACTTGGCGTATATGTTCTTCAAAACAGTTATCGCACAGCACGGATTACCGACAAAGCTTATATCGGATCGCGACAAATTGTTCACCTCAAACTTTTGGAAATGCCTCATGGAAACCATGAAGATCAAACAAAGCTTATCAACGGCATTCCACCCACAATCAGATGGACAAACAGAGTAGTTTTCTTATTAATGCTCTGTTTATACCTAAGAAGAATAAGACCTTAAGGTTATATATAGATTATAGGGGATTAAATAGAGTAACCTAAAAGAATTACTACGTATTACCCCTAATTTTAAAGTTACTTAATAGATACTAAGAGGCTAAGTTCTTTTTAAAGATTAATATTAAGAATACCTATTATAAAATATAAATAAAAGAGAGAAATAAGTGGAAAATAGCCTTTTAAATCTATTATAGGTACTATAAATACTTAATTATATCTTTTAGCCTTATAAACGCGCCTATTACTTTCTAGAACTATATTTATTAAGCCTTATAAGAGCTAATTAATATTATTTATATAGTATATTTAAATAATATTTTAATCTTCTTAAAAATAAAAGAGAAATAATTTTTCGTTTAATATCTTTAAATTAATCTATTATAATTTCAGTTATATTAGAAGGGTTCTCTTCTCTTATTATTCTCGTAGAAACTATTTGCTTTCTTACTTACTATTAAGGTACGTATAGTAATTATCGTTATAATAAAAGGTTTAATTAAGGAGTTTATATTTAACTTTAAGTTTATCTTTCTTAATTAAATAATTCTCTTTCTTTTAAATTAGCTCTAATAAAGGTTTACTTCTTAATAAGAGCGTTTAATATTCCTAAAAGTTATTAGGTATTAATTAGGTTTTAAATTTCTAATCTTTATTTAAACTAATATTATTTATTAACGTAAGGTTTTCTTTCTTACTTATTATACTAAGATTATTTTTAATTGCTTATAACTTTTTGAAATAATAGCTTATAGTAATAAAAGGTGGGGAATTTTAAAGAGCTAATTTAGCTCTTTTTAATGATATAAAATTTTCCCTTATAACCCTTATAATTAGCCTTATAATCTTTAGTTTAAGAAAACAGAGGTTTTTTTATAATATATTTATAGGTATTTTAGTTATGTAATGTAATGTATTTAAATACAATACACGAAAATACAATACAATACAAAATACAATACACAATACACTTGTATTCACTATATTCGTAACTTGCAGAGCATTAACTATAGTGTAGTTTTATAGTTTTGTAGTTTTTGTAGTTTCGAATATAAAAAATTATATTAAATCTAATAAAATACTTATAGAATTATAAGTTTTACGGATAACTAGTATAAATTCTATATTATAAGCTTATATTAAAAAAGTGGGTCCTTATTCTTAGATTTATTATTAATTATTTAAGCTTTTTTGAAAATTGAAAATGTAGTTTTCTTATTAATGCTCTGTTCGTAAGAGCTCTAACTATAAGATATTATATTAAATAAAGACTTATAATTTACGGTATACTTATAAATTAACTTCCTTAAGCTTATAGGAATTAAAGTTAAATAAGCACTATCTTTTATTTATAAATAAACGAATAAATAAAGCGTATAAATTAAACCCTTAAAGTATACCTTTAAGCCTTTATAAACTATAAAATGTTAAACTAAAAAGACCTTCTTTTAATAATAGAATTTATATATAATAACTTTATATTAGCCTTCACTGAAATAACGCTATT